ACTCCTTCCCCCCTCCCCCCCCCCCCTCATTGCATGCGTGTTATTGATGGATGTAAACTCCCACACGGGGGATGCAGCGCACCACCACCTCGTGCAAAAGGGAGGGGTCAAAAAAAAAAAAAAAAAAAAGAAGAAGAAGAGAAAAGGTTGTATTTGTAGCTTTTCTTTTTTTTTTTTTTTTGTTTGTTTGTCTTATAAGTCTTTTTGTGTGTGTGTGTGTGTTTGTTTGTGTTTACTTTTTTCGTTTACAAAAGGCATAAAAGAGGAAGAAGAAAAAAGGAAAAAAAAAAAAACAGCAAATACAAAGTACATATATATTTCTTAGATATATTTTATATATATATATATATTCAATACATACATCATGGAGCTTGATTGTATGAGCAGGGTATGTAGCTTCCTGCGGAAGTTTCTCTCAGTTATCATGGGTATTTTGTTGGCTATTTTTACACTTCTGTACGTCATTGGTGCGGGTCGTGTGATTACACTTGAGCATAACTTTAAGCATGCTGGATTTGCTTACTTTTTGGGCATTTTCTTCTCCATCATTACAGTCATTTGTTATATTTCTCTACACTTTGTCCCCCGTAAGGCCTATCGTCTGTTGTACTTCATCTCAGTCATGTTGGTGCTCTCGATGTTTTTTGTGGCCCACTCGATGGGACTCGCTGGCCCCGTTGTAAGTGACTGCAATTTATTGGGTCTGATCAACTACAGTGATATTGTGGCGAAGTGGCGGAATATGGGGACGGTGGGTGTTATCTTCAACAACGAAACTAAAACAAAAGAAGTCATTGGAAAACTCGGTGAACCCGTACAACATTGTGTGGAGCAGGAGTTGACATTTGCAACTGCGTTGATTATGCTCATTCTGCAGGTATTTGCCCTCTTTGATGTGCAGAAGGTACTCTTGACGCGAGTGAGATCCAAAACATACGGTGAACGGTTTGTGGAGATGGGCATTAGTAATTAAAACAGTGGAAAGGAAGAAAATTTCCTCCCCGGTGTGTGTGTATATATACGCCAAAGAGAGGAGAGGAGAGGAGAGGGGGCATGGGATGTCTATTTGCACGCATGGCCGCAGGAGAAGATATTTATTTATTTAAAAACAAAAAACACATGCACGCAAATAAATTCCCAAATGAAATCAAACAAACAAACAAAAAAAAAAAAGAAGCAGAAGAAAAATGGAGTTTTGAATATTCCGATGAAGTCATATGGGTGTCTGCATGTAGTTT